TAAATGGTTATTTTAGAGATTTACTCCAAATAGATTTTTTTTTTGATTAATATATTAAAATATATTTGAGAAATAATATATTCATTTTTATTACGCTCAAAATATATCTAAAATATATTACAGTTCTGCATTATAAATATATTATATGGTGGTATATTTAAATGTATTGAAGAAAAAATGTATTTGTTTTTAGTACAAGAAAAATACATCTAAAATACATTACAGATTAGTATTCTAAATATATTGTATGGTAGTACACTTAAATGTATTTAAGAGAATACACTAGATTTTAGTACACAGAAAATTCAATAGTGTTGAATTTACAGCTGTTAAGAGAGAAAAGGAAATATATGTAAAGTTTTTATTTTTCATTTGCACTAATACTGCAATAACCAATCAATATGTTGTTAATATGGCAAAAAAGAGACTTTGCATTTTCTTACTTTTAATCTCTTTCAATATTATTTGGCAGAGGAACAACAAACAGTTTATTCAAGGATCCAAACATCACACATTTACGTTTTAGTGACTGAGGATCAACAGCAAATACATTGCTGGTCCTTAACACTTCAGTAATAAATGTAGAAGATATCTTCAGCTATCTCTCCAAACATGATCAGTTTTACGCAGCTCTTTAACTAAAACACAGAAGCTTTCTATACCTGACAATCCATTTCAGATGTAAAATCTATTAGTGTTATTATTTCACAAAACCTTCCATCATTCAGCTGTACAACAGAGTTATTTCTCTTTTTAAGAGTTGTGTTATTATATGAATGATACAAAACCCTAGCATATGTGAAACGATCATAAAATAAACCAGAATGAATGGCCAGACCTGTAACATTTTTAATTGCCATTCTCTGTAATACAGACGTGTTTTGTCGTTTTGGACCAAATCCTCTTAAACCTGTTGAAATTCCTTTGACTTTTTTACCAAATGAAAACTACCCTGTAGTTTGGAGAAAAAGTCTTTGACATTTTCACAAGCATTTGCCATAACTGTATTGGCTTTAACTGAAAGCCCTCTCCACCTAAGGAAAGTTTTCACTATCTGAGAGGGAACATGGGTTGTCCCATTGAAACATGTGAGTATTGTTCCATGAAAAGATTCAAATAGAAATGTTGATGTAGCCCACAGAGGTCCCCAGTTAGACACACTAGCAGCTAAATGTGTTAACAAACGCACATTGAAAGAAACATTGATGGCTCCATAAAGTCTTT